GTCATAGAGCACACATTATTTCCTTACCAACTGCTCCAGAGACCCCAACAATCCACCTTATAAGTCCCCCGTTAGCAGCAATGATCTCCCTCACGACTGCCGTAGAGCCAACAGCATCAGCCTCTCGCTCATTCAATGCCTTCCTCAATGCAGTGTAGGCCTTCCCTTCTATGGTCTTCTCCATGCCTTTATTCACCAACATCCAAGAGTCCTTAGCCGCAGCCACCGGTACCTTCGTCCTCGACACTATCACCGACACCGCAGAAGACCTCATGTGCTTGCTAGAGGCATCAGAACCCAGTATAAGAAGACACGCGAGGAAGAGCGCGTTATCATTAGCCTTAGCTCCCACCAGCTCAGTGTACATTCTAAGGGCCTTGAAGCTATGATGCCTCACTGCCAAGGCCAACAACACTGGCCGCTTGGTAGCGACCTTCACAGCATTCTTGACCATCTCCTTGCACGACGGGTTGTTAATCATGAACCCAATAAGCTTCTCAATGTCCTCCTCTGTTGTCGTCAGAGATATCAGCTTAGCATAGACACAGGCATCAACAGACCTATCGAGGCCAAGGCTCTCAATGATCTCCACAACTTCGTGTGCAGCTTGGGCTCCATTACCCCCCATCACAGACGCCTGGATCAACGCAGCAGCACCCGCTGGCCCTCCAGGATAGGTCTCAGTAGCAGACGGCATGCCATGACCAGGCAGATCGTCGCCCTTCATGACCCTAACAGCGGTCACAGAAGGGATGGCCTCGTCACTCAGTAGAGACAGTACTGCCTCGACTTCCTCCACGATACGCTCGTCAACGGCAACAACCTGAGTCGTGATGAGATAACTACCGGCCCAAGACCGCACGCCGCGACAATGCTACTACCTCTTCCCAGTACTGCTTGGGCGTAATGCGCTCCCTCGGGGGCATCAGCTGCTTCAACATCCCCACAAGAGCCACATTTTTGGCCTCAACCGAGACGGCCTCCCAAACCCAACCAGCATTGAGGATCTTCATCCTGATAACATGTGAAGGCTCAACCCCGAGGCGCTCCACCAGCAGCCCAGCCACGGCCTTCGCCTCCCCTCCCGTCGTATTGTCACGATCGACCAATTGGGAGATCGCCTCCTCCCGAGCAGATGCTGATGTCGTGGACAAATGACGAAGCAGTTGAGCATCCAAGACATGCCCGCCCGGCAAGAGTGACTCCACTTCTTTCACACACTTATGCTTCAGAGCACAGCGACTCACAGCAACAGGGAAAGTGTCATACAGCTGGGGTAGTATCTGTCAACCAACCATAAGGTGACTCTAGAGGTGTTTTCGACTTACCTCCTCGACGTGGGATTCCTTAGGGCCGTTAGCAATGATGGCCACAGCCGAGTCGCATACACTCAGAGCAGCCACGGTAGAAGCACGCAGGAGCCAACCAGAGGACACCAC